GGCTAATTTTTTCTATATAGATTTTTAGTTGACCAAATAATTTTTTTCTATTTTTAGTAGAGATGGGGTCTCGCTCTTGCTCGGGCTGGTCTCGAATACCTGACCTTGAGTGATCCACCCGCCTGGGCCTCCCAGAGTGCTAGGATTACAGGCGTGAGCCACCGCACCCGGCCTCTATATATATTTTTAGTTGTCTAGCTAATTTCTTTCTATTTTTAGTAGAGACGGGGTCTCGTTTCTTGCTCAGGCTCGTCTCGAACTCCTGAGCTCAAACGATCTTCCCACCTCGGCATCCCAGGGAGCTAGGATTACAGGTGTGAGCCACCGTGCCTGGCCTGTTTACTTATTCTATTCTGCTTTCTTTTATCGAGGAGAACAGTAGCTAGAAATGTAGTCAAAATATAAAGGGAGAGGAAAAAAGCAGAGCAAATATTGGACACATTATAATTAGCTAATATAAGTTGTAGAGTCATCTAGCCAGCCAACAAACATCTACTGAATGGATTAATTCTTAGCCTAAATACTGTAATTTTTGATTCTGAATCTATTTTAGTTATGATAAACTAAAATACTTTGGTACCCACATACTACACAATATTCATAGCATAGTATTTAAGAATTTGAAGTCAGACTGAGTTCACTTGCAGCTTGAGATTTTAGGTAAGTTACTTAACTTCTCTGTACTTTAGGCTATTCATCTAAAAAATAAAGATAACAGCAGCTACAGAGTGTGAGGTGGTGGTGAAAATTAAAAGAAATACTACATAGAAGCAGTTACAATGATACTTGGTATATGTAGTAATTGTGCAATAAATGTTAGCTGTACTATAAAAAACAATGGTGATACAGCATAGCACCTCTTGTATTTTCCTGGATAGAGCTGGAACCCATTCTACTAAGTGCAGTATCCCAAGAATGGAAAAATAAGCACCACATGTATTCACCAGTAAATTGGTTTTACTGATCAACACCTAAGTACACATATAGGAATAACATTTATCGGGCGTCGGGTAGATGGGAGGGGGGAGGAGGGGATGGGTATATACATACATAATGAGTGCGATGCGCACCATCTGGGGGATGGACACGCTTGAAGCTCTGATGGGGGGGAGGGGGCAAGGGCAACGTAACCTAAACATTTGTACCCCCATAATATGCAGAAATAAAAAAAAATGTTAGCTGTATATTTAAAGATACTCTTAGATACTAATTTTTAATTTGAAGTGATAAGAAAGTAGAGAAATAACTGCTTTGGTTTAAATAGCCAAGTGTGAATTAACATAAGATATTTATAGCTCATATTCTAACATGCAGTTGAGAGGCATTACCCACAAGTACAAAAGCAGTTTGTGGTTTAACTATTCCTTCCCTCCTCAACAATGAGGAAGGGACTAGCTTTCAAAAATAGGGCTAAAACATGTGATCAATCACCAACAGTGGTACAAAGGAGGAAACAAGTAATGTAGAAGTCATTGCTGGACTGCTACAAGTAAATGAAGTTTTAGCATATCTGATTATAATTTAATTTTTAGAATAGATCATAAAGAATTAACTATAAGTCTATAAATGTTAACAATGACATTTAAAAATGTTTAAATATGTTTGCTAAGATAAATAGATCCGAAATCAGGACAATCATGTGAATATAATTTGGAATGGCCATAAACAAATATAACTATAACCTTACCTTGTCCTGTAACTATGACTGCTATTCCTTTTTCTAGTTCTTCAATACCTTTCTTATACCATTCCACAGCTTGGTCCTTCTGTCCTGCTTTAAAATAGAAATAATTATTTGTATATATCCCAAGTATAAAGAACGCAATAAACATTTCCCAAAGCACGCTACTGACAGATGATACATGAAAAATAAGGTTGTGATCAAGTAAGTCTGAGAAACATTATTATACAACTTCTTACTACTTTTAGTATCTTAATGTGTATATGTATCTCCAGGAGGGGAATATAGTCACAATGTTTCTCAAAATTTTAGGGCTGTGAGTCTTTTTTTTTTTTTTTTTTTTGAGACAGAGTCTCACTGTGTTGCCCAGGCTAGAGTGCCGTGGCATCATCCTAGCTCACAGCAACCTCAAACTCCTGGGCTCAAGCAATCCTCCTGCCTCAGCCTCCCAAGTAGCTGGGACTACAGGCATGCGCCACCATGCCCAGCTAATTTTTTTTATATATTTTTAGTTGTCCGATTAATTTCTTTCTATTTTTTAGTAGAAACGGGGTCTCACTCTTGCTCAGGCTGGTTTCAAACTCCTGAGCTAAAACAATCCGCCCGCCTCAGCCTCCCAGAGTGCTAGGATTACAGGCGTGAGCCACCGTGCCGGCCTGTGAGTCCTTTTTTGCTTACCATCTCATGGTTTTTTGTTTTTCTTTTTTTGAGACAGAGTCTCACTCTGTCATCCCAGGTAGAGTGCAGTGGCGTCATTGTAGCTCACTGCAACCTCCAACTAACTCCTGGGCTCTAAGCGATCCTTCTGCCTCAGCCTTCCAGGTACCTGGGATTACTACAGGTATGCGCTGCAATACCCAACTGGGGTTTTATTTCCTTTCTTTTTGGTAGAGACGGGGTGTCTCTCTTGCTCAGGGTAGTCTGGAATTCCTGAGCTCAAGTGATCCTCCCGCCTCAGCCTCCCAGAGTGCTAGGATTAAAGGCATGAACCACGGTGTTGGGCCCGAAATGTGTATAGGATACTTCTATAAAGTGATCATTATACTCAAATCTCATTGTTTTTCAAAATTAATTTCTTAGTCTTTAGAATCTGCAAAGCTCGTAAGTGGCTAACACAGAGACAGAATAAAGCAAAGGCAGAAATCACTGATTAGAACTGTTTTTCACTTTTTCCCAATCTCGTAAGAAAAAGTAATTTCTTACTTATTATACTACCATCAGTATCTTACACTGCCTGTACTGGAAGAGATTTTTGAGTTTGTTGTAAATCAACTCAAGTTATTTCGATCACCTTCCTGGTTTCAATAAAGAAAATATCTGTTTACATGTTAATTTGAAAATAAAAGGGAAATTACAGAAAATAGTAAAATAGCACTTGCATTATGACTGTGAGAATATTGATAACAATGTCCTATTTACTGAAAAAATTTAAAAACACAGTGAGTACGACATAGCAGATATAACAGAAATTCTGTTTTTGTGTCTCTTCCCATTCCCTTGCCCCTTCCCTTCTGAGAAACCACTATCACAAACTGAGTGCATATCTTTCTAGTATATGTTTTTCTATTGTCCCTATCTATATTTGTATTGCTTTATTTTTTAATATACATTTTGAAGACTAGTCAAATGCATAAATTTATGTTTCTTTTGAGATCTAAGTTGCTAGTTCATTCATTTTGACTTCTGTATAGTATCCTGTATTATCCTACAATTTATTAAACTATTTTTTTCTATTAAAGGATATTGAGATTGTTTCTGGTTTTTTAATATTTTAAACAATGCTGCAATAAACATACTTGTACCTGCCCCCTAAAGCATATCTCCAGTTTTCTAGGGTATAAGCTTAAGAAATACAATTGATGAGGCATACAGTTCATCACATTTTCTCCATTCACCATAAATCAACAAAGTGCTTTATTAAGAGTGCTTATACCAATTTACAGTCCTAACAATAGTGTATGAGAGTTCTCATTGACAACATCCTTATGAACATTTGATTCTGTCATTCATATATTCCATATTTTTAAATGAATATTGTGTATGCAACAAAATTTTCAAAGTATTTTTTACCAAAAAATTGAAAGGCAAAAAAGATAAACTGTATGTTGACTTCTTTTTTTTTTTT